TTATGAGGGGGTCTGGTGGCTGGTGGGAGCGACTGAAAGGTCAGTAGTATGAGGTTTTGATCCAGGGATGAGACGCCCTCCTTGGGAGTGTGGGGTAAACGGTGGAGTGGGACCCCTGACTCATCTGGAGAAGAAGTGGATCTTTTAGAGGGCTTATAGCTGCTGTGTGTTGTCAAGGTAGCGAAGCATTAGTGCCTGTAAAGGCCCATCGATGCCGCCTGGTTACGATCAGAGGAGAATCCCAGGAGGTAAAACGGGGCCTTGCTAAACTGCTTATGAACCGAGGGAGATATTAAAAGACCGACTCTACCTCTTCTTCTGTCTGTATTGCAGATTTTTGCCCATAATATTGATATACGCACAGCACGGGGCTCTAGCATCATTGGGCTGATAAACTGCTCACACAATAGATAATCTTTTATGTACCTCCCGTGCACAGCACAAATATTATGACTATTAGTACATTAATTAACTCGCTGGCCTGGGGGTCCTCTGCCCAGCCAAGGTTAAGAGCTTCTTTAATTAAAGATCAATACGGTTTTGCAGTATATTTCTACAGCACCAAAGGAGACATGGAGCTCTTTACTGTCTACATGTCAGAATGATATAGAAGTTCACAAGATATGTATAGACAGAGATTCAAAGTGCACAATGAGAGCATTTGCAAGTATAGAACAGTGAGCTGATATATGTCAAACTGCTCAAGTGATGGTGTGAAAGACATATTAATACCTTCCTTATGGACTGAGTTATGTTTGTAGCGATAATGGGAGTTCACCTTTCTGCAGGTCTGAGCTTGATCCGAAACACACAAACCCATTAAGATCAGAGCTAATGGACGCAGCAACAATGTCCAGCCAATCTTCCAGTCTTTGCTGACATTGGCCTGTCTAACATCGCTTAATAATACACCTGTGCACTGTGCAAAGGAGGTGAGCAGCGATGGTGATGGGTGAGATCAAAGCCCAGACCATTCTCTCTACTGCCATCCAGGTGTGTACGCCTTAGGATTTAGTCCTTGTTTGTAGAAGTAAAGATGGCAGGGCCCGAAGAGCACACTTTCTTGCTCAGGGCTCCCAAGTTCCCCTCAGATCTCCATAATCCGCTTGGATTATGTTTGACAGGACAGGGATCCTCCTGCTGGTCTTCACCTCTGTTTGTTCCCTGAGTAAAGCCCACAAAGGGTGGCTACAGCAAAAACCCTAACCCCAGACCCGAACCAAGCACCAACCTGCCTCTGTCCATAAGACGTTTGAGGACATGGGACCTAACTGGTTAATTAAGAACCTTCACATTGTACCATCGAGAATGCATTATTCCAGTTTTTTTAAATTCCACTTTCAGATCTCTTAGAGAAACAGAACATGTGAATTTCATCATTTTGAGCATCTTCAAGCACTTGCCACCTTGTTTTCTATATAGCCTGAGCCTAATGTTTCATATTAAATGGTGTACAGCATGTGTACACACTGTATCTATTAGTATACAGTACAACAACTCAATCTGCAACACAAAGTAACTGATATGTGATTTGTGTTTTTACATGATGAATACTTTATGTTTAGTTTACATATAAATATTAAGGTCAAACTTGATCCAAAGATCATGTTTCTGTAAACATGTCTGGGGCCCTCGTATAATTGATAACTCACTGACCCATTTGCTACTTATTCTCACGTGTTGCGTATTATAGGCAAGACACGAGGGTTGTAACCGAAGGAGGACCAAAATGATTTTGATTTATTAGCCTGAGGTAACCAGGGGAAGCCACTCACAAACACATACACAACCTATTATGCATTCTCACTCTCTCCTTCACAGTCTCTCTCTCTCACACACACA